GACCCTGACCCAAGCACACACACCTGACCCTGAACCTGACCCAAGCACACACACCTGACCCAAGAACACACCTGACCCTGACCCAAGCACACACACCTGACCCTGAACCTGACCCAAGCACACACACCTGACCCTGACTCAAGCACACACCTGACCCTGACCCTGATTCAAGCACACACCCACTGGAGCTTGTGTGGGGAGCGTACTGGCTCTTGATCCCCATCACCTGTAAAGCACTTTGAGTGGAGTGTCTGGAAAAGCAATATATGAGCATATAGGAGTATAACGACTTACATAGTCCAGCACTAGATATGTGTTTTGAAGTGATAATTTTGAGTAGAAGCTCAAGTAGAAGCAAGTTCTCCGGTTTCTCCTCCCCCACTGCTCTCCAGAGAAGCGCTGCGGCTCTGTACTGTATCATGGATGCAGTCAGCAGGGGGCGCCACATGCAGCACATTCTTCTCAGACCAGCCAGGAACCTATAAGCGCGGTCTCGGTTCACCCTGCTCTTGGGGAACAGTATCGGTGGGGCGCCCGGAAAGAGCTCTCTTCGTTTTAATCCTCCTAAATAGGCCTGTAGGTTTTTCTACCCGAAGACACCGAATTCCTAGTAAACTCTGTGTCACTTTTCTCTAGATTAATTGTAAGTAGCTTGCGGGTTTAATTTTCTCAATCGTTTTTGCTTTCGTGATTCGTGTAGAATTGGTGCAAACCGTTACAACTAGGTTTAACAAGGCAATAAATGTGACAGATGGAAACGAGAATAAGCTGGTGTTGTCTGGGATTTTGGAGAAATAAATAAATAAAAGTATTTCAATCACGTCGTCTTTGTAACGCCACGATACAAACTGACTCCGGTGTTTTGACTAACGGGCGGTCGTGTCTCTCCCTGCAGCGCCGGGGGTAGCTGCGCCCCGACGCGGTGCCATGAAGACCCCGGTCAGCGTGCTGCGGCTGCCCCGGGGCCCGGACGCCGACGGCCGCGGGTTCGACCCGACCTCCGCCCGGTTCCAGGCGCTGAGCGCGGCCGGGCAGCCGGGCCAGGAGCAGCGGGCCCGCTCGGAGCTGCGGGAGCGCTACCTGCGCAGCCTGCTCGCCATGGCCGGCAGCCCGGTGCGCTTCAGCATGTACGGGGGCGTCAGGGTCGCCGCCACCTTCGGCGCTTCCGACGTTGACATCCTGAACTTCCAGGTGGCGGAGCTGCAGACCCCGCTGGGCGTGCAGAGGGCCGCCGTGCTGCGCTGCCCTGATATAATTTCCTACTCCCTTGAGCTGTGAAGACGGGCGACCTCCTCAGAGACCACCAGCCTTTTAACAGGATGAGACCTACTGTATAATACTGTTGTCCGGCCTTTTGAGTGAAGGTGGATTTTATTGTTTAGCCGTTTTCTAATAAATTCTTCAGCTGAGATGCGTGTTTTGCAGCACGATTTAAAAGATTTTTAAATTTGTTATGACCTTTGTGATTTGTTAATGACCTTAGATTATTTTATCTGGGTTGTGCACGTCGAGGTCGGTCTGTCTTTGCGTTTAGGATCAGGACAATCACTTGTTCACTAAAATACAGTAAATTCGCCGAGGATCAAGTACTAGTCGACTCTGCTTTTGCGCTGCTTTTGCACTGAAGACCATGGTTTTCATGGGTACTTGTACTAAACGTGTATATAATATTTTTCAGGTGGTAATAATGTATGAACATATAGAAAATAAATAGCCGCATTTACTGAGGAAGAAAGCACAGTGCTCTGTTTAATATCATCCCTTCGTTTCCCTTCAACATCGCTTAGTCCAGCAGAGGGCCGCAGTGTGTCTGAGAACGTCCAGTCAATCCCAGAGGCCCGGAAGAAGGCGCTGTTACGCGAGCGGCCAGGGGAGGGCGACAGAGCGCTGCCCGGGGGCCCGCTGTGTAGAAGCGGGGGCAGACGCCTCCCCGCTTGCGAAGCGCTTCGCTATGAGGCAGAGGAAACGGCTGCAGGTGGATTTCAGATATAGTTGTCTGGGAGGCTGGAATTCCTGGCGCTCGGCCGTTGTGAAACGGAGGACAGTCTGGTTTTTGTTTCACCACCAAGGCAGAAGTCAAACCTTAAGCACTTCTGCATGTCCTCAACCCTTCAAGCAGTTAATTATTTAATGATATCTATAAAACCTGGTAAAATGGTCCCAGGGGGACACACATAAAGGCCAGCTCTGAGTGCAAGGCCACCTGCCAGGTCAGTGCTTTGACTTTTATCATTTATAATTATTTATATGTATAATTTATAAACCACCAGGTCACGAAGTGAGCCTGTAGGAGGGACAAGGTAGTAAATCATCTGGAAAATTTCAGCCTGGTGCTGCATTAATTGACTTTGCCCATGAAGCCACCTTGATCACAGCGGCTGGTTAGCAGGGGCAGAGTGCGTCAGTGACAGATCACACACAGGCTACAGGTGCTTAAGGCACTGACTCGCTGAACAGCTCCCTGAGTGATTTTACTCCCTCCTGTTGTGTCCTTCAAAAATGCAGAAGTGGCTGGCGCTCGGACTGGGACCTTGTGGGTTCAGGTCCCTGGTGCTGTCCTCTTGGGCAAGACACTCTGCCCAGAGTGCTCCAGCGACCCCAGCGGTCAGAACTGGCACCAGCATGAGGCGGAGCAGAGGTTCTGTGGCTCAGGATCTGCGCCTGTGGCTGGAAGGTTGCCGGCTCAAATCCCGCAGCCGGCAGAGGAATCCTACTCCGTTGGGCCCCTGAACAAGGCCCTTAACCCCAACTGCTCCAGGGGCACTGTACAATGGCTGACCCTGCGCTCTGACCCCAAGTTTCTCTCCCTGTCTGTGTGTCTCATGGAGAGCAAGCTGGGGTATGTGAGAAGACGAATTCCTAATGCAAGAAATTGTATAGGGCTAATAAAGTGATCTTATCTTATCATCAGCATGTTAGACAAAACTTAAACCTCGGCAAGCTCCTTTGGATAAAGAGCATCTGTCAAATAAGGTTGTAATAAAGTTTCTGTAAGTTGCCAAACTCGTATTTCTTGCTTTTATTTTTGTCATCGACTTGCAGGAGAAAGCAGATCTCACAGACTGCCCTTGGAAGGCTCTCCCATGTTCCCCTGCTCTGCTGTGTCCACAGCACGTCTGTGTGAGTCTGTTGCAAGAGGCGCAGTGCAGTGGATCTCTGCTGTCTTCTCCTCTGGAAGAATTAGTTTTTTTTTCTTTCCTGGCTGCCTGCCTCTGGCTCTGAGTGAAAAACATCCTCTCTGGGGTCTGGCAGCCTGTGGGGTCATGATGGGAGTGTGTGGGGGGCGTGATATTGGCACAGCAGAGCTGCGCCGTGCTGCCACCACCACAGCGGGCAGCGGGAAGTACATTCCATCCTTTCCTGTTTACAGCCACTCGCTTCCTGTCAAACTAAGGGAACTTGACTGTGATAAAAAAATCACCTCTCCACAAATTGCCAGCACAAATATTTATTTTCAGATTCTAAATTAGCAAGATGACTTAGGACTTTTTTCCCCCACTTTTTTTTCCAAAGAAAAGACAGTCTGAACCAGGCTTAAAAGACGGCTATTATCTGACTAATTAGTATTATCACTTAAATTGTTCTGTGAGTGTGAGTGTCAAGCTAGGTTCCTAGAGAGCTTCAAAGTAAACACATTTCTCCACAGAATTTTTCATCCGCTTGATTGGTCTAATAACTGGATCAATTAAGCAATTTTAATATTTTCTCAGCATCTTTCAGGTTTCAGGAGTTATAATTAGGCAGTTGATCGTACATACTGTATAAAACATCACAGAGTTGTTATTTTTTTGCTGGTCAGCCAATAATGAGACCATTCTGAAAAAAATGATTATTCCTGTTGGCGTCACAGGACACTCGAGCCCGTCCCAGAAACAATACGGGACGACTGGACGGGACGCCAGGCCGTTATGCATATACACATGGACCGCTGAGAAACTGCCAGAGCAGTTTTTAGGAAAAAAGGCCTCATGTAGAAACTGAAACAGATCGGCTCGTGATTAGGAGCACGGCGAGAGCTGCCGCTGGCAGACACGGGTTCCAGGGCTGAGAGCCAGGGCTCTGTGTGGGGAAACCCGGTGACGTAGCCCTTCCCATGGCTCTCCAGCTCCACCGCTCCGCTGAAGGCGGAAGGAGAAGCAAAACAGCTCCTCGTTTTACAGGTGAAAGCAGCAGTGTGGTTTAGACGTGGGGCTCTGAGGTGCACCCCCACGGTTTAGAAACGGCTCCCCCCGTGTCCTGTGAGGCACGCTCCTGGTTTTCACAAGTGCTTCCTCTCTCTGAATATTCCCACAACACCAAGCTAACTGCGTGTGATCGTTGCAGCTCCTGCCTGCTTTGGAAAGCCCAGTCCAAGCACGATGGAGAAACACAACTAATTATCTGCGGTTTTAATTGATAGAACCTTTTGTGTTGTTCAGTTTCACAAGGCCTGCAGGTTTCTGTCTGTTAATGGAAAACTGGTGTGAAACAAAAAGGACAGCAGGTTTGTTCAAGTGCTTTTCATTCCTTCGTAATCTCTTCAACCACCATGTGTCTCGAGGTCCTGGCATGGACCTCTGGAATGTCGTTCTAGTCGGCGATATACATTAAAGAAAGGAACATGGATTGTTTTTGTGGCTTGATGTCTTGTTGTTTTCCTTCGCGCCCCCGTCAGGATTCAGACCTCTCCGAAAGCTCGGTCTGCCCTGGGAATGTTTATTGGAATGCACCCATTGTGGAAACTTCACAGCGAGTGAGTCAGTGCACGAAGGCTGTACAACAGGGGAATGTTGGACAAACTCCAGCACAGTGAAGTCATCGGGTTATGAGCCACAACATTGCTTATGGATGAGCAAGGTTATGTAATTCTATTTTCCCAGCATGCATAGTGTTTCCAGTAAATCACAACTGTCTGGGCCAAGAGCCATCACCCAACGTCCATTGCCAGTGCCTGCCTGATGTCTTTTTTTAAGGTTGGTATTGTACCTTACAAGTGGAGACTTGGGAAACTTGGCAATCGGTATGATCAACTCTGTCCCACACTGGCTCTGCTCTGCAGGACAGTTAGACGGATTTCTTTCCAAGACAGGAGAACGCTGGCAGCACGGCGCTCAGGAACCCGTCAGTGCTGGCCTCAAAATGCCACCCTGCCATCACTCGGCAGGCCTGTGGGGAGCAAGAGGACACAAAGGGTGCTGCGTCCTTTACCAGGTGGCTGAAAGGGTGGCACTCGATGGTGTCTAGACGGGAAATGGTTTAATTGGTAGTCAATTATGAAAAAAATTAAAACTACAAGATTATCTGCTGGGGATCAAAGCCCGCTGATCTGTGATCTTCCTCAGACTAAACAGCTGGTGATAAAAGATAGCACTAATGACAGTCTGGGGTACATCCCTGCCAACAGAAACGAGCCCTGATCCTGTGATCAGCGGAGTGTCCGTCTCAGCAGACCAACACGCAGAGGACGGTCTGGCTGGGATGTGCTTCTCCAGCTAGGACCAGGGGATGATCCAGGGTCCTCAGGAAACACATTCGGTGAACTTTTACAGTTAAGTTCAGAAAACATGGAGCAAATCCTGTTCTGGAGCAAACAGCTTTAAAATCCACCATGTCAGCTCTTAATCTCTCAAAGCATTGCTCCTGTTATTCAACATCCTGTTCGGTGCCTCAGTTGCTCAAACCTACTGTATTCCTGCTTCACAGTGTATTAATTTATTTGATTTCTGCTGTGTCCTAACATCTGTTTTTCTACTTTGCTTAGTTTTTCACTCTCTCTTCTAAAGTTACCTGTGACTGTTCCATTTTACATACAATTTCGTTATTTACTGTAATTATTCTACCATAATATCCAGCAGAAACATAAACTGTAGGTTATTCCCTTAAACAGAATGTGCTCCCTTAACTCATTGTTTTAACCTCAGCAAACGTTTTTAAAACAAGTTTAAAACCAAAGTCTGATTATACAACAACAGAAGCACGTTACAAGCAGAAGGAGACTATATCTGGCCCATTTTGTTCTATTGGTATTTTAATAAAAAAGTCACCCAGCCAATTCCTGAAGAAGCTTAGAGTTGGGCCTCATCCACCTGGCTGGAAAATCCCGGACCTGTTCCAGACTCTCACAGCTCTTTGAGTAAAGAAGCATTTCCTGTTCCATCTTCAATGAATGCCAGTCAGGCCTCATGTACCTGTGTCACTACTGAGTGTGAAACAGTGCTCTTAGTGAGAGCTAGAGCCATCACACTGCTTACACTGGGCAGAGAGCTCGCGTTTGCAACAGCACCTGAGGCGATGGTCCAGCACAGGCGACAAGGAGCCAAAGAGCCTCGTTTCCTTTAGCAACCATTGCTAATTTCCAGACCTGACACCCCGAGTGCTCTTGTTAGTCTTAGAGAGGTTCTGCATCGCCTTTCAAGAAGCCCCTGATCTGTGAGAGCCTGCAGTGGCACCCAGACTAGTCAGTTCAGAAGACA